CTATAATAATGATATAATATTGAATTATATAAAAAATTATTATATTATATTATTTAATTAATATTATATATTATTAATGTTTGAATAATAAATAATATAATATATTAAAAAATTTTAACATATTATGTAATAATAATATTTAAAAATAAAATAATTCCTCTAAGAATAAAAGACTAAACATTAATATGTTCAGTATATTCATAATATATTTTATAATAAATAATAATACAAGACATTATAAAATAATGATAAAATAATTGTATATTATAAAGTAAATACCTTATTAAGTTTGAATAATAAATAATATAATATATTAAAAAAATTTAACATGTTATGTAATAATAATATTTAAAAATAAAATAATTCCTCTAAGAATAAAAGACTAAACATTAATATGTTCAGTATATTCATAATATATTTTATAATAAATAATAATACAAGACATTATAAAATAATGATAAAATAATTGTATATTATAAAGTAAATACCTTATTAATGATAAATTACATATATGATAAAAATAGTAATATAATAATAATAATATCATAATAAAATAAATAAAATAATATAATATTATAAAAATATGATGTTAATACATTATTAATATATGTTAATTTATTAATAACAATAACATATTTATATAAAAAATATTTAAATATATTAATATTTGAAAATAATACTTTAATGTGCTATACATCCATATATATATTTACAAATATAGTACAATGATATACACATTATATTCTATAGTTACTGTATATTATCCCTATAATCATCGTTAATTATATACCTAATACTATCACAAATAGATTATATTATAATTAATATTTAATATATTAATAATATTTTTAATATTAATGTTGTAAAAGGTCAAAATATTGCTGACCAAAAACACTTACCATGGTGTTTTGAAAACACTTTTTGAGAAAAACACTATGGTGTTTTGAAAACACCAGACAAAAATCACTATGATACAAGGTTTTAAATATCGGAGGTCGGAGAAATATCAGATGACCAAAATTCATATTGGATTGCAGATATCAGGGAAATATCGGAGATATGTGGTTAATATTAGAATGCCATAATGGATGTTTGCGTACACAGTATAATGAACTAAAATGTAATCTCAACATATCTAATGAAATCTAAGCATAATAAACGTGAATAATATATATTTAGGATCACTAGTCAACCTTATAAACAAATAAAATTACAAATCAACATCGCAATATTTTGTCTGCTTTTTTTAGGCAACAACATCATTTGATATAATTGAAAGATCATGATGTCTTGCCCAAAAATTGCCAAACGCGATTTATTGTTTTGCGATAAGCTATATAAAAGGATATATCGACCAACATATCAGTTGATATATCAGCCATATCGGGAATATATCCCCCAAAATAGCAAAAAAACAGTAAAGGGTATATAGAGACCATATCGGTTACGACAATCGTTGTAAAAGGATAAATAGGGTGACATATCGGGTCATGTCGGGGATATTTAAAACAATGCTATGATATCCAAACACATCTTAGTGTTTTGAAATTAGTTCATCTAATTAAGAAGATGAAAGATTTAGGGTACTAATTTCCAAACAGTTAACACATCAATCGGACTAATTCCAAAACATAAAGATTTGGGAAGACTGAATACTTGAAGATTTGGCCTTTGGGGTACTACTTTCTAAGTATGAAGATTTGGAAACATTTGGCCAACGAAGTGACATAAAATAGTTTCGTAAAAAGCCAAGGGCATATATGCAAAAATAGCCATAAAGCAATCCGTTTTCACTTTTGAGTCGTGCTTTGCCCAGAGAGACCACAGTTCCCCCATTTTCCCTTCTTCTTATTTGCGAAGGTACGTAATCCAAAACTTATTACTGATTGTTTCAAAGCCCTAACCCAAATTTCATCAAACATTTAAAGATTAACATCGCTTTGATTCAGTATTCTCTCTCTCTCTCTCTCTCTCTCTCTCTCTCTCAAAGTTCTTGATCTCTCTTCCGTTTATCTTTGAGTTCGAAATTTTCATCTGGGTACTGATAATTTCAGAAAATAATTGCGATCTTTTCTAGTTCTGCTGCAAAATTTGAACATAGGGTGAAAACCCATTGCTACAATTTCAAAAAGGAACAATCTTTGCGTAAGTATAGTTGATGGGTCCAAGACTTGTAGACGTCTTTAAATTTGAGATCTTTGATATGTTTTGCTATACGAGAATGATCATCATCAGTTCTTTACAATGTGGGCTCCATATGCAATTTGTCAAGTTGTGTGACACGGAAGAAAAGTTTCGTCTTGTTGAACTATTGGGCAATTAGTCGGCTGAGTTACTTGAGATATACATAGACATAGAGTCATCTGATTGCAGAGCTAAGCCATAGGATACCTTATTTCTCGTATTTTCGTTTTGCAAAGGTTCCTGTTGTTAGAGTATAAAATTGTCTCCCTCAAGCCTCACAACACCTAGCGCCTGTTTGGCAACTCCTTGAAATGGGACTAGGTTTGGCCCTAGTCCCATTTTGAGGAGAATTGTGTTGGCCCAGTTTTTCCTTGGCCAAAAAGTGACACATAAACGGGTT